GAAAGGATGCACAAGGGTCATACAATTGTAGAATCATGAAAAGGCTTAGAATGGAAGGGACCTTAAAGATCATCTGTTTTCAATCCTCTGCTACGACAAAGCCGGGGCACCCAGGAGGCCGCAGCAGCAAAGGGAACCGGTAAGGGGACGCCTCAGCCTGGGCAGCCCACTGGGAGGGTTTCCCTCCTGAGGGACCCGGGCACTCGTTCCTCCGCTGACGGGGTCAGCGAGTGACTGTGGCCTCTCTTCCTTTCCTAGCGTGAGCCCTGCAGCTGCAGCAGCGCGGTGAGGAGCAGCCCCTCATCCCCTTCGCTTTCCTGCCCTCCTTGTCTTTTCTGCAGGTCTGTGAGGTTGCAGCAGTGAGGATTTGTCTCTCATTCTAACCCAAAAAGACTGCTGAAGTCTGTACACTAACAAGCTTTGATGGTCAGTTACACTGGCTTCTAGTAGGCTCTTGCTTTCTGCAGCAAAAACTAAATTCTTTTTAGCATACAATTCTTCCCCTACTTTCTTAATCAAAGTTTTCATTGTGAAAGACAAGCTTTTAATTACATTTTTAAATTAGATACATTATGAAACACCTATTGTGAATAATGATACAGACATTATACATATAGTCACAAGTTTCTCATAGCGGCAGGCATTCATCTGACAAAATAAGAGTGTAAAATGTAACAGTGTATAGTTTTAAAAACACTACAGGCATTACTAACAGTGAATATGTTTTTTTGCATTACTTCCAGCTGCGGAGAAAACTCACATCTCTCTCCCTTTACTCCTAAATCTCCTCTTATATATAGTATGATGTCTTACAGAGAAATAGACTTTACAATTTTCAGTTAAATGTGGCAGATAACTGTTAGAAAGTCGCAAGTTGCATTTGCCATAATAAAGTATTGGATTAAAATACGTGAACAAGTATTTTCCAGTGACATTAAAAGATTACAAAGACATTATAATTATATAACCTTTCTCTGAGGCACTTTTTGGAATAAGATTGCACATAAGAGACTACATTTTGAATTTTCTCTTTTTTTTCCCCCTTTTTGCAAGTACTCTGCAAATCTACTTAGGTGGAAAAGATGGGTGTTATGACTCTAAAAACCTAATTTGGTAATGTCATCAGTCATCAGACTCACTTTAAATTTGTCTGCAAGGAACCTGTACATAAAAGAGGGTAAGAAAAATCCCCAAAAGCCACTCTTGAATCTTTCATATTGGAAAAGCTGTTAATGAAGGACTGACATATAAAAGAAAGCTCATTTTAACAAATTACTTCCTATAACAAATTAGAATAGTATTATAGCACTTAATCGCATAATTTAAGACTGAATTTTACTTAGGTATTAGTTATGGCAATTATAGCTTTTTTTCTGTTCTAATACCATCAAGTGAAAGAACACAACACAAATGTGAAAGATATTCTCACTGGTTTACCTCCATAAAAACCCTGTTTTAAACTACATATGAATCTTGGTGTAATGTCTAGACAGGCCCTATTATGAAATTGTCTGCCCTCTTTAAGGCTTTAATTTCTGTCTATATCTTGCTTGAGCATGACATACTTCATACTTTCCTTTCCTAAACTTGTATTACTAAAAATTAATTACTGGTTAAATATTCAATTTCTGCTACTGATATTTTTTACAAGTAACATTTCCAAGTATTTAACAATAACAAATGACAACTGTTATAAGCAAAAAGTGTTTTTCATTTTATTTAAATAATATTCTATTACTAATCCAATATGGCCGGCTCTTCACTTCTCTCTTCCATTCAGTGTGTATTTGAAGACAAAGCAAAAGGAAAGATAAAAACATTTCTTAAAGTGCAATTACAAAGCTATGCTTTTTGGCACCCTGATTCATAGATGTAGGCTGAACTCAAAAACATTTTTAACTCATTTTTATGTTGAAAACCAGTTTTGTTTTAAACAGACTACTCTTTTAATGTCACCATCTGCTTCAGGATTACAGTAAAATCTGATAATGGACTCTGCTCTGCACATCTTCAAAGTTGCATCCAATCTTATGAGTTTAAATGCAAATTACATGTGCATAACACTGAGAATGCAGGCTTCTGTGATTTAATTCACACTTTGTCCAGGCAGGTCCTAAGCAGAAAACTCTGCTATAATTCCACAGTTTTACAGAGGGAAACATGGATTCCTATAACTGTTTTATCTATTGTACTTTTGTTGTTTCTAAAACAAGCCTTTTTCAGAGATGTTTACAACAGGATAGACATTTTGGCTTTGTTCTGAGTTGGTTGTGGGTTTTTTGGTTCATGAAAATCATCTTTGAGGAATGCACTGAAAACCTATATGGTATACTTCTCAGAAGTATACAGAAACAACATACTGGAATTACTAAGACTTTTGCAAGGAAGAATGCCAGCATGCAAAAACACCTCATATTTCATAGTTACTTTATTTCCATATTATCAGGAGGAGTCCTTAAAAGGACATACTCTCTTTCTGTTGTTATTGTAACTTGTTCAAAAAGCTTATTGATCTACACAAGGGCAGGCAAGCAGAAATATTTTCAGGCAACAACACCCTTAGGTAGAGTAAATGGCATTTGGAGACTTGCAGAATACAATAGTGTTATTCAGGTGTTTTCAGAGGGACAGAAGACAGTTTGCATCGCAGTAGCATCCTATCAGAGCAGAGAAGCACATAGTGTGCAGTGTCATTTTTGGATTCTTAATTTCTCAGTGTCACCTGAAAGTTGTTCCTAAAGGACTTCATTAAGGATGAAATCTACAGACTGAAAGAGCGTAAGGAAACGAAAATAGATGTGTTCTGTACTGTGTCTTTTGTCTCCAAAAGTACTGGGACACACACGCACAGAGCAGTTTTAGCAGAACTGCAAAAAAAAAAAAAGAATATACAGAACTCCTAAGTGCCTTTCTCCGAGTTATCATTTCATTCTGTGATGAAAAGGCTCCTTCCCAGACATGTATGACACTCACATACTCTTGCAAAGTAATTTCTCTGCTCTTTCAATTTATGTGCAAGGCCTATTTCAAAGAATTCAAAAAATTACCCAATTTTGCTTTACTCAGAGGTGGAAGTCAAGTAAGCTCCATTAATTTTAATGGATGATTTAGCAGGCTCAGAGTCTTTCAGTGGTACTCAAGTTCTGTCACCTTTTGGAGATAAGATATGAAAGTTTTTCCTTTCTCTTATAGGTGAGCAAAGTTCTAGCACTTACACAGAGATTGACATTTCTTTCAAAAGCTGTTGTAAGGATGATCACGGAGTGTCACCATTTGTACTTAATTTTTTCTTTCTTTGGTTGCAAAAAATAAATTAAGCAGTAATTATGCTTAGGAAACTTAAAAAAGGCTGTCAAAACAATTTTGCCATGCAGGTTGAAAGTCGTGACACATTTAATACATTATATATTTCAATAAAGAATGATCTTACATTCTTCTGAAAGCAAATTGTTTACAAACTTGGAGACTTTATATCACAAATGAATGCTGAACAAACCAATGGAATTCAATGATTTAAAATAAAATAAAATAAATAATAATAATAAAATAATAATTTTTAAAAATTGCAAATATTTTATCTTCTAATTATCTTCTAATTAAATAACAATGACAAAAAAATCCCTGGCCATACAACACTGGGCTCCCCTATTTTCAAGTAATAACTTTGAAAACACACATATTGAAAAAAGACGGTATTACAGAGATATTGAACAAGATAGTCCCCAGTTTCTTCTCATAAATTGAGTATGATATGCAGTTTGCCATGAAATATATCACCATATTCCCCTGAGCAAGTATCCCAGCACTGCACAGCATACAGCACCCATGCAGCACTCACATATCCTCAAAACTGTTGATTGAACCAATGACTAATGCTCCCAATGAGCTGGAATGTGTTATTAGGTGGAAACGCATCTCAAGGTGACTCAGATGGATGAGGAATTATCACATATATTGGGTTTGGAGAGACTTCCTAAAGGCTTCAATCAGGAAAGTTCTATTCAAATAACAAACAATGGAAAAAGTTATCATGAAAGTTCAAATACATGCTCCTTTCAGCACCTTCAGTAAAAACTGTACCTCCAAAGCACTGCAATAACCAGTAACATTTACATAAAAAAAAAAAAAATAAAATAATAAAAATTTAAAAAAATAAAAAAAAATTAAAAATAATAAAAAATAAAAAAAAATACATAAAAATAATGGTAAAAGGCACACGTGCTATTTTAAGTAGTTACACTTTTCAATGCCAAATTCTCACTGTATATGTGTCAGAACATGAACTTATTTTCCCACTTAACTATCACTAGTAGGAAGTTTTCTTGGATATTAAAACAAGTCTGCCTTTATTTAAAATCTGTTTACCTCCTTGTTAGCGATATATCAACTGCACAAATGTAACTGATAAAGCTATTTTTCTTCGTCCATATTTTCTCCATTTCTTTCTCCGCTATGTCAAACATCTGGTAAGAGGTAGCAAGGACTGAAGAATTAACCTAACAAATAGGACTGACTGAAGCAATTGCGCTGAAGAGATGCGACTGACACGAGCATCATATGCACCCTGCATTCAGTCTGTGCAGAGCTGCAACATAGTTACGGGGTCTCCTCTCCCTACTTCATGAATTTCCACCGGGTTTGTAAACTACTGATTGCTCTACGGGCTCTGTTTGCAACCAGCCCAGTCACACTCGTCTCCTGATCCAACGTTCTGATCACAAGAGAAACGCGCTTGGAAAGTTTCCAAGGCTCTCCCTTAGGAGACCCCACGCTCAAAGAGCTCACACATCCCCATCCAGGGCCCATACGGCCAGCCCCGCACCTTGCTCGCTGTGAGTCACGTGACCGCGCCGGGAGCGGCGCGCGCCCCGCCGCCACTCTTCTAGCGGCGGCGGCGGCGGCCACCTGGAAACGGGCACTTCCGGTTCCGGGGCCGGGCGGCGGGGCCCGGCCGCGCTCAGGCCGCGGCCGGCGGCGGCTGAGAAGGGCGTGCGCTGGCGGGGCCAGCGGGCAGTATGTGGCCGTCGCCTCCTTGGTTGCTGGCGGGGCTGGTGCTGGCGGCGCGCTGCGGAGAGGCCGCGGTGGCTGTCCTCGGCGGCCCGTTCGTCTCCCCGCAGCCCACGGAGACAGCGGGCGGCACGACGCGGAGTAGCGGCGGGCGACTGGCGGAGGTGTCGGTGCCGCCCGAGGAGGGCCAGCCTATGACCCAGCGCGCCCTGTCCATATTGCTGCTGGCCAGCGCCGCTCTCATCGTCTACTTTGTGATCCGGACGGTGCGGTGAGCGCGGCGGAGGGCGGGAGGAGGGGGCGGGACTCGAGTGGGCTCGGCACTGCGACGGCTGCGTGCCAGTTAGCGGCCCTTGCCGGATCCTCGTGGTGCTGTCCCGGCGGGAATAGCGACATCCCCGCCTGCTAGTCCTGTGAGGTTCTCGTGGGCAGTCTTTGTCCCATGTGCCAACGGGCACCGTTCAGCATCATGAGTTCTGTGCATCTCGTTTTCAGTAAACACTTCTTGTGCGTTCCTAGGAGAAAGATCCTTAAAATATTTCACTGCCGCCAAACTGCCTCTGTTTCTCATTGAAGCTTCTTGCAAAACTTTTTATTCTTTTATGATTAACCCCATAACAAGAAGTCTTTGTTTCTGGGTTTTCTCCTTGCATACTTAATCTCTGAACAACTTGCGGCCTCGAATGTGTGATTACTCAGAAAGTATATGCACTGTAACTATGTTTCTACACTATGTTTATGTGTTTTCTTTCTCTTCCTTTTTTTTTTTTTCTCATAACAGCACAGTTTACATGTTCTTTATGAAAACGGATGTAAATCTAGGGTTATGTGTTGTTATGTATATGCATAATAAATAATAATAATAATAATAATAAAAAAGAACCAAACAACTGATGCTTAACCAAGAGTAGCATCTTGGTGTGAAGTACTGAGAAACTTCTCCTTTTTAAGAGCAAAGGAAAAAATAATTACTTCAGGCTGATTTTTAGTAAGCAAAATATGTCATGCCAAAACTATATGTGAGAAATGTCGCTTTTATGACAAAAGTAAGCAGGCTTAAATTGAAACCTTGTCCAGTACAAGTACTCAGCTCTGTTGAAATTTAGAGTGATGTGGCTCTGGAAATACTAGATTTACGACTTTTACTTCAGATTGGTTGTGTTGATGACAGTTACCTTCTGAGGTCTGATGTGCTTTGAGTTAGCCAGCAAAATCTTGTGGCTTTATTTTTTCCTGTTTCTGATATCCTTCCATGGGAAAAATGGAAGTGAAAGTGGAAACAGTTATGTCTGGCTGTAAGTGGCCAGGTTTTGGTATCTGGGAAGGGCATATAGGTGGCCTTTATGAGCAGAGCCCAGCACTGCCCCAGGTCACAGCAAAGCAGCTTCAGCTGCTCCAGAAGGGGCCCACTAATGGCCATAGCTGAGTCAAGAGTGATGTTGGCTGTGATCTGGGAAAAGAGATCTAAGAAAGGGAAATGCTGCTGTACAACAGCAGCTAGGAGATAGGAGTGAGATATGGGAGAGAAGCAGCTCTGCAGGCACCAAGGTCAGTGCAGAAGGAGGGCAGAGATGCTCCTGATGTAGAGCAGAAGTTCCCTGCAGTCCAGGAGATGCTTGTGGTGAAACAAGTTGTCCCTCTGCAGCCGGTGGGCACCATGGGGAGCAGATCTCCCTGCGCAACTATGGAAGAGCCATGGTGCAGCAGGTTGATGAGGCCTGAAAGAGGCAGGAGCCCCTGCAGGAGCAGACCCTAGGAATCTGTGGTGGGGCAGGATGTCTTGGACAGGTATCTGCTGTGGAACTCCATGCTGGAGCAGTCTGCTCCTGAAGGATGAGCCCTGTGATAGTAGCTGTTGGAGGAATGCTTAGAGAGCTACAGCCTGTGAGATGGATCCTATGCTAGAACAAGTATGAGGGGGAATTACAGAATCGTTTGAAGTGAAAGAGACCTTTACAGACTATTTACTCCAACTCTGCAGCAATGAACAGGAATATCTACAGCTAGATCAGGTTGCTCAGAGCCCTGTCTAATCTGACCCTGAATGTCTCAAGAGACAGGGCATCCACCACCTTTCTGGGCAACCAGTGCCAGTACTTCACTAATTTTATCATGAAAATCTTTTTCTTTATATCCAATCTAAATCTCCCCGGTTTTAGCTTGAACCATCTCCCTTTGTCCTATGAGCCTGTTAAAGAGTCTGTCCCCTTCTTTGTTATAGCACCCATTTACATACTGAAAGGCTGCTATCAGGTCTCCCTGGAGCTTTCTCTTGTCCAGGCTGAAGAGTGCCTGCCCTCTCAGCCTGTCATCACAGAGGAAATGTTCCATCCCTTGAATCGTTTTTGTGGCCATAACGTGGACATGCTCTAACAGATCCATGTCTCTCCTGTACTGAAGACTCCCCATTTGGACACAGTACTCTAGGTGAGGTCTCACCAGAGCAGAGAAGAGGGGCAGGATACCTTTTTCCCCTAGCTGACTGTGATTCTTTTGATGCAGCCCAGGATATGGTTGGCTTTCTGGGCTGTGAGGGTATATTGCTTTCTCATGTCCAGCTTACCATCCACTAGTACCCCTAGTTCCTTTTTGGAAGGGCTGCTCTCAATTCTTTTAGTTCCCAGCTTATACTGATAATGGGGGTTGCCATGACTCAGGCACAAAGCCTTGCTCTTGGATTGTTTGAACCTGATGAGGTATTCCTGGACCCAACCTTTCTAGATCTGTCTTGGTAGCATGCTGTCCCTCAGACATGTCAGCCACTTGGTGTTATCTACAAACACTGAGTATGTACTAGATCCTACTGTTGATGTCACTGATGAAGATACTAAAGAGCATTTTTGCTAGTACTGACCTTTGAGGAGCGCTACTCATCACTGATCTCCATCTAAACATTGAGCCATTGACCACCACACTGGTTGTGATGTCTATTGCCTGGCTCAGAAAGTTATCCTCTGTACATTCCAGGAGCCTCTTGGATTACTTGTAGCTCACCATGCTACTTTTCCAGGAGATGTAGGAGGCAACACCTCCCCCTCACTTTCTTAACCTGTCCCTTTTGAGCAGCTTGTAGTTGTTGATAGTCAAGCTCCAGTCGTGGGAATCATCCCACCAAGTTTCAGTGATGGCTACTACACCATGGTTTTCTAACAAGAAGCAGCGCAGATAAAGCACTATGACTGATCACAGTGAGTGTTTCTCATCCTGCCGTGAAGCTCCAGATCAGGGAGAACAAGGAAGAGGGTGTGATACTGAGCATGGTATTGAAGGGGAAGCCTGAGGAAGATGTTCCTACTTGCAGTTCTTACTGCCCTGCACTGTTATTGGATTGGTAATAGATTAGTCTTCCCTGAGTTGAGTCTAGTCACAGTAACTGATGAGTTCCTCTGTTCTTATCTCAACCTATGAACTGTTGCATCTAATTTCTTCCTCCTATACTGCTGAGTAACTGGAGTATGATGGTAGAAACCCAGAGGCTAGTTGAGGTCAACCTGGCACCCAGGGCTTGACCGCCCTTTGGTGAAGAGCCTTTTCCTGACCCCCAGCCTGACCCTTCCCTGACACAGCTCCATGCTTTTCCATCAGGTCCTGACACTATTGCCAGAGAGAAGAGATCTGTGCCTTACACTCCAGGCATTACCAGTTCACAGGATTAGACTTTAAAAGCCCGTATTTCCAATATGCTCTTGTGTATAGTTTAAGTGTATGTATAAATGATTTGTTTCTTAATGCACGAAAACATTTACCACCTAGGAACAGTAAATTTGTTTTTTTTTTTTTTTTTTTTTTACACATTTTTGAGAGCTGTGCTTTTGAAATGTTCATTGGTGAAAACGCTTATCTGAAAAATTCATTGTATACTTGTAGCAAAAAAGTTCAAATTAACTTGGACATCATGAATTGCAGCTGCAACCTTAAATCCACATGAGAAAAATGCTTGTTTGCTAATGATAGTCTGAGAGAAAATGCATACAAGTTATTTTGTACTCTCAACATTTTTTTCTCAATAGCTGTTTTTATCTTTCTGCTGCTGGAATGGTTTTGTTATACTCATAAACCATTAATTGCCAGAAATTTAAGTATTGTTTAAGATAACTTGCATATAGATACTGAATAATGATGAAAGTTCTTTCCATAATAATTAAATCTTCAGCTATTATATTTTGTTACTGTACCAGAAGCTTAAAACCTTTCTGAATGGATGTTGTCTCAGCAAACGAGCGCTGTGTTTTGAGCAAACTGCCTGGTATTTGTCCTGTTATGTTCCTGCTCATATACATCATCACAGAGAGAGCATGTGTTTTGTAAATTGGATTTGTGGCTGAAATTTGTGACAGTACTCATGTAAGAAATTGAAGGTTTAGATACAAACCTTCCAGTTTCTTTTGAACATTTTTTTTTCCTTAGTGTAAAGCCATGCATATTATTAACAAACATAAAGGTTTCAGGAGATTATACAAAATTTCAGCATATTTGCACCCTTTAACTATTTCATAGAAATAATCTATAATTTAAAAATTAGAAGTAACATTTTTCCAGCTCTGATAAAGACTACAAGGAAAATCTAGGTACTGTTTGTTGGGATGCAGTTAGTCAAAGCCTTGCTTGGTTAGATAACGTATCAATCTCTTTCTTTATCAATTCTGTACATTCTGATAAAGATACGAGTTTTTGGTTTTCAGAGCCATTTGGCTTTCACAGAATCATAGGGGTTGGAAGGGACCTCCAGAGATCATCGATCCAACCCCCCTGCCAAAGCAGGTTCCCTACATAAGGTCGCACAAGTAGGTGTCCTGATGGGTCTTGAATATCTCCAGAGAAGGAGACTCCAAGCCTCCCTGGGCAGCCTGTTCCAGTGCTCCGTCACCTCACTGTAAAGAAGTTCTTGCGCACATTTGTGCAGAACTTCCTATGCTGCAGTTTCTGGCCATTTCCCCTTGTCCTGTCTCCACTCACCACTGAAAAGAGTCCGGCCTCACCATTCTGCCCCCCACACCTTAGATACTTACAGACCTGGCTCAGGTCCCCTCTCAGTCTTCTTTTCTCAAGGCTGAACAGACCCAGTTCACTCAGCCTTTCCTCATAGGGGAGATGCTCCAGGCCCTTCACCATCTTTGTGGCCCTCCGCTGGACTCTTTCCAAGAGATGCCTGTCTTTTTTGTACTGGGGAGCCCAGAACTGAATGCAGTACTCCAGATGAGGCCTTACCAGGGCAGAGTAGAGGGGGAGGATCACCTCCCTCGACCTGCTGGCCACGCTCTTTTTGATGCA